AAATCATGAATCCAACAATAACAGGTGAATAATTGAAATTTTCTCTTGTTATACCATTCTAAGGATGAATTTTGTTTGGACATAACAAAAGTGTTGAGGTGAAGCAAAGCCAAACAAAAGCTGTCCAACCATATATATTTGAATAATCACCTAAACTATAATGACTTCTTTAGAAGGAATATTTGGAATGAGTAACTCTAAAGAATATTGGAATAGCATATGATACTTATACTCCTACTGTTTATATAGAAATTATAGCCTCGAAAGCAGTATCACTTAGCAATGGTAGTAAACATAAGCAAGATGATAGAACTAGTACTAGAAAGATCATTCGATCTGGTGTTTGAGTCTAAGGATTCACTTGACTTAAAAATTTAGAATATGGAAAAGCGCCATCTCTAGCCATAGCATATCCTACTCTAGAAGAAATAGTTGTTGTGCTAAAGCCTACTAAGAACAAATTCATCATTAATATTAGAATCATAAACACTACCCAACTTTAATCTCCACTAAATACTATATAGAAGAAATTAACAGCACCATGATCACTATTCCCATTAATTATTGAGTCAATATTCTCCCCACAGCCGTAGAGTATAGCCATTATAAAAATTAGCCCAGTGATAGCTGAGAGAAGGCAAGAATAAATTATGCCTTTTGGTGCACTAACACTTGCGTCAGTGGTTTCTTCAGCTAGAGTAGCTCCACCCTCATAACCTGAAAATCCAAACATTGCCATTAAAAGTCCAAGCATACTTACATAGTATGTATTATCGAATCCAGTTTGGTTATTAAATTTAGTGAAAACGAATTTGTTCGAGGAGAATTTTGGTGAAACTAGGAATATGACAATCACTACAAAGATTGTGCTCACAAATTAATAAACAGCTGACGTATTGTTGAACCATCCTTAATGTTCAATCTTCATGTAATTTTTCAAACTCCATAGTATTAATAACACGATTGCAATGAAGATCTAAGTATGTACACTGAAGGCATCCTTACTTTCTATTGACAGAGCAAATATCCCAGATAGAAATTTGGCCAAACCAAATGAAAAGCTAGCATTGTTAGCTAAATTTCCCAAAAAATTGAACCAGCCACATAAATAGGAAGCAATTGGTGACCATTTATAGTTAGCTAGTGCTCCTGACCAGTAATATACACTCCCTGTAACTGGATATGTTGAACATATTTCCGCCATCGAGGAAGCTACTATCATTGTGAATATTGACACAAGTATCCATCCAAAAAGCATAACTACAGGACCTCCAGTGATCATTCCGAAATCAATAAGCATTACAATTGAAGAGATGCATGCTACATTAGTAAAAGTTATCGAAAAGCTCATAAACGCACTGAAACCCCTGTTCAACTCTTATTTATAACCAGATCCTGTCCCCTATGATTTTTTAGAGGTCCTCGTGGAATTTTAGGATGCTGCATCAATAATCTCCATATCTTTCATGAATTTATCCCTGTTTTAAATTTGAATTTATAATTTATTAGAATTTGCATTATTAAGACATTTTTCTTTAAATATTCTTAAATTGCTACAAAAATTTACGACTGGGGTTTTGGGGTTTTGGGG